ACCATGACATACACGGGAGAGCCCCAAGAGTCCAGAATTCCAGCCAACAGAAACATTGCTAGCTGGGAATGAAAGCGGTAGGGAAGCGGTAGGGAGAGTGAAAAATTAAAGAAGGCTGGCGGAGCCACACATTTCTACAGGCAGGACACAGGCCGCTACAACTATCTAGCTGCAATACATGCACCACCATTTATTAAAAATGGAGGCTGCCGACCAGGGCGGAGCTAAGGGCCCAGATAACTGAGCCACTTAGGGTTACTCCCAGGGCTTAAAACAGAGTTTCCCTGCCTAGACTTTGAATTTGCCCGGGACCAGTAACTGTTCCTCCTTCCATTTTTGACTATCTTGAACCCGAATTCCAGGAGCTGTTATCCCATGCCTGTCTCACCATAGTGCTTCAGGAACAGATAACAACTTCCTTCTCAAGTTTCACAAGTCCATAGATGGAGAGGATGCCCAGTAGGGGTTGTTACCAGGGAAGCTCCCATGTCTCATTTAGATGATTTGGACGATGAGATTTTAGGCTTTTGGGCTAATGAGATTTAGATGAGACTTCAAGTCTTGAGACTTTTTATACTGTTGTGATGGGTTGAATATACTTCTTTTTATATGGAAATATAAACATGTAATGTAAACAGAATAATGACCCCCTACATAAGTCCACATCCTTATCACTGGAATGTGTAATCATGTTATCTTACATGGAAAAATGGATTCTGCAGATATAATTAAGGTTAAGGAACTTGAGATGGGAGATTATCCTAGATTATCTAAAGGGGTCCGATCTAATCATATCAGCCCATAAAAGACACTTTCCTGGCTGAGGTCAGGGTCAGAGAGAGAGCTGATGTCAAAAGAATGGGAGAGAGATGCAAGGCCAGGAAGGCAATGGGCATAGAGCCAGGGAATGTATGTGGCCACTGGAAGCTAAGAGAAGGAAAGAAAATGGATTCTTTGCTAGTGCCTCCAGGAAGAAACACAGCCTTCCTCCCACACTGATTTTATTTATTTTTTTAATTTTTTATTATTATTTTTTAATTTTATTTGTCTCCCACACTGATTTTAGCCCACTGACACCCATGTAGAACTTGTCACCTACAGGACTGTAGGATAATAAATTCGCATTCTTTTAAACCATGAATTTTGTATAATTTTTATAGCAATGAGAAAGATAATACAACATTTATAACTATCACCCAGTATAGTATTTGGGACACCAATGAGAGGAATTAAAGGCTTAACTATGGCAATTGAAATGTGCTAATGAAGATTTAGGAGTCAATATGGTGTCTCCTTTGAAATATCTTCTCTATAATAGTTGGAATAAAAAAAAAAAAAAACCCAGATTTATGAAACTGTAAATTAATGTTTATATGTATATAATCCTATATTCAAACCTGACTATATATATGTTACAAATGTTCCTTTTCAATTTTGATCTAAATTATTCCCATGAAATTTTGGGTGCTTCTTTGTACGGACAAGGAGTTTGTATTCACTTTTATTATTTTATATTTTTCTTTTTATATGGAGCACGGATGGCTTTAGCTTGTCCTTTTCATAATAACAGGTAATTTATTGACTGTAATTATAATTTTTTTTTCTTTTCACTGAATTCAAAAGAAACTGCTTCTTTGATCTCATCTGGTTTAACTGAAAAACACTTACACTGTGAAAATGCTGACAGAGCTGTTCTCCAGAAAGAACAATGTCACATTTTAGGGGGTGGTGGGGAGAATGCTTATGGAAGGTAGGGTTTCACTGTTGCAAACTTAATTGTTCTGAAGTAACTAAACAGGCAGAATTAACAGGTAAATTTGAAACAGTTACAGAATTTATTCATAATCCAGATTGCTGGCAATGTTTGTTTCATACAGACATTGAGTTTATAAGACAGTTTTAATGCATCATGTCAAATGAAATGCAGAATAAGCAGTGTGCTTTTATCTTTAGAAAAGTAAGTAAACATGTTGTTTGAAGGATAATTTTCTAATCTTTAAGGTGAAATGAAATTTCCTGTAATCCCTTCCATGATTTATTGCTGTCTCATGAGCCAGACTCAACTCTATTTTTTCCTGTAATATTTCAGGTCAGCCATTTTCTTTCTTTTGCTTTTCCAGTTGTTCATTGTATGATCTTCTGCAAGTTTTTCAAATAGAGACAATATGTACGGATGCACTTAACTGAGCACACATGTGTGCCTGTATATATACAATTTCTGATTGTTGGTTTGGCTAGATACAGAATTCTCAGAATGAATTAATTTTCTCAGAATTTTAATGGAAATTTAACATTATTTTCTATCATCATGTATTACTGATTAGAAGTTATGCCAATGGCTTGCATTCATTTGTAGGTAACCAATTTCATCTTCCTGAAGGTAGTATCGTCACC